GCTTTAAAAATTAACAGTTTTTTCCATTGACTTAGAAGTCAGATGCAGTAATGTCTCAACAGTGTTTATATTATGTTCAGAAACAAATACTTTTCATCAAACAGTATGCTCTTCCAAGTCCAGATTGTTACCTTGTTACTTAATTTAATACAGGAAGAATGTGGGAATCTAAGAATTTTTTTATTATTATTTATGATAAATATTCAAACCCCTCTTTTCCAATCCCTGAGACCTGGCCAGCCCCATTTCCATTTGACTGTACCGGGAATGGGTTGTTTGAAGTTGTTTCCTATAGGATTCTGAAGTAAAACCTCCTTCAAACTGAGCTTGACTATGGTGATTTCACAGACATGTCCGTGCAATTTTCTTGGCAACTAAAACGTCAATAAAAATTTCTTGGGATAAAGAACTATACAAAATGGTTAGTGCTATATTAGAATGCACTGATAAGCAAGTATTAGTAGTTTCTATCTTTCTCAGACTTTTCTTATCCTATTTTTACTCCTCTTGTGTTCTAATACAATAATTTGAATTTGAATTCCTTCTTTCTTAAGTCTGTATGCACATACACTAATATCTGTTTCATACACTTTCTGTGTTTATTTGTAGGCTTTACATCATCATCTGCTTCCCCAACTTTCCTATAGTTTGATAAAACAAGAAATACTATGTTACAATCATTAATATGTTTTTCATTGCATATATTCATTGTATGTGTGTCCTAGGGAGGTGAACAACACTGGAATAGTTGAGCCTTCTACATTTATGTTCCAGATACCCATATGGAACTTGATAAACTTGGGAGCAGAATGTAACAAAGTTTATTGCCAAAATCCTTCTTTCTAAAATGGAAAAAGATACATGTGCAAAAGAAAAAATGGAATATTTATATTTTATAAAAAAGCTGTAGAGCACCCTGATAGCATGAAAAAGTGTTAATGTAGTGAAAGATACAATCGAATTAATTTAAATGCTGGTACTGGAAGAGTTAAAGGCTTTGAGCACTGTTCAGTGAAAGATAATCCTAATTATATTAGCTGGGTTCTATGAGGTTTTTTTTAGCATGTCATATTGGTTATTCAAGTAAACTATACTATACATTGTAATGGTATAATGGCTGCATTAGTATGCTGTAAACCAGTTACCACCTTACCATAGTTCAGATCCACAGAGGCAAAATTGTTTCAGACAGTATTATTCTAAATAAGACCAAAAAGTTAAATATACTTAGCTTTCTTTTGTTGTATGCATTTATTAACTTGTTTATTTAAAGATTAGAATGATTAATTAAACCTATTAATAGAAGTAAAACACTGAAACATTTTACAAAGGAAGAAAACTGGGTGGGGGAAAGGGAGGAAAGAAACTGATTTAATGGTATAATGAGGCCATCTTCCAGAGACTTGTTTTGTGTAAGTCTTGCTTTGACCTTTCACTTTGCTCAGGAGCCCAACGCTTCATTTTTCACATTCTTCCAATTACGTTAACGCTTCAAGCATTTCTGACTCCAGCTAGCAACACCAGGCATAACTCAACACAGTGAGTTTTTCCTCCTCTCTGTAGATTCATTAACAGGTCACTGAGGTCCCAACTGAAATTTAAAACTGGCTGGTTTTGTTGGGTTAGTTGAGTTATGGAAGAGAGATAGCAAGAAAAGACTGTGAGAAGGGGAGGAGAGAAGGAAGATTCTTTGCTAGGCAGTACTGTATGTGTGTAAAACCCAAATCAACCTTTCAAAAGGTATGTGCAGCTTTATCATCCAACTACTTGTCTGGTAAAAGTCTTTTGGGTACTACATTTTCCTTTTTCTGTATAAAATAAAGTGAAAATGCCTTTGAAAAATCACTGCTTTAAAAATTAACAGTTTACACTGTGTATACTGTAGTGATGGTTATGTTTTTCCTCATATTTTTCTATCCTTTATTGGGTACTTCAGATGTGAGCAAGTAAGGGTTATGTATGAAAATATGAAATCAGTCTGATTTTATATTTAAAACTGTGTGGACTTTCCCTTTTTTTGTTGTTGTTCAAACCAGTGTCACTGAAGCTCCCTTGGATAACGCTGGGCAAGTTCTAATTGTCAAATCTGGGATGAATAGAAATAGAAAGTGAAACTAGTCATATGGAACACGGTTATTGCCACCCACTGTAAGGACTGGCTGCTAAGACGTTGCTTCAACAAGCACAAGCAACACAGTTTACTGACCTGTTATGTATCTCAACATTCAGTAGCTACTTCACCTTGCAGATTTTTCTTGTATGTAGATTTTTAAAAATTGTTTTATTGATTATTATCCCTCCCATCTAGTGATACAGGACAAATATGAATAAAATATTTTAATAAATGAATTCAGATTATTGTTGCTGTTATATATTTAAAGGGACAGATTTTGTGCTTGAAGCCCAATGTTAAGCTTAGGTGGCTACCATGTGATGGTGTTTTAAATTTTTAAAATTTAGCCTGACTAGCTTGGAGGGAAGAAGTAACTTTTCAGAATTTGAAGTGTTTGGTTCTTTTCTATAGTTGAAACTGTGCTAGGAAATGTGTTCTCCTCTTAATATTGCTTCTGATAGAATTATTCAGATACTGACTCTTGAGGAATTTCTTCATATTTGGAAAAGTCCTTAGCATTTATGCCATCAAATCAGGGTGGAAGAATGTTCTTAAGAAATGTAAAAATAACAGAACAATTGTATAGTTGTTAAAAGCAGCATATGACAGAATATTAGGTCCAAATGTGAAAATATTGAATCCAATTAGGCCTGTATA